GTGCTTGCTTGAATGAGTCTGCGACATGCCTAATAAGAGACGAGATGGGCCAGGGCGACGAGAGCGACCGCATTGTGATCAACGTGGGAGGGACTAGGCACCAGACTTACCGCAGCACCCTACGCACCCTGCCCGGCACTCGGCTGGCCTGGATAGCCGAGCCCGATCACTTCGACTATGACCCCCGCACGGATGAGTTTTTCTTCGACCGGCACCCGGGCGTCTTCGCCCACATCCTGAATTACTACCGCACTGGCAAGCTGCACTGCCCCGCGGACGTGTGCGGGCCCCTGTATGAGGAGGAGCTGGCCTTCTGGGGCATCGATGAGACCGATGTGGAGCCCTGCTGCTGGATGACCTACCGGCAGCACCGCGACGCCGAAGAGGCTCTGGACAGCTTTGGTGGGGCACCCCTGGATAGCAGTGCCGAGGACGGAGACATAGATGGCACCGGAGACTCTGGTGACGGCGAAGAGGAGCTGGAGATGACAAAACGCCTGGCACTTAGTGACTCCCCGGATGGCAGGTCTGGGGGCTTCTGGAGACGGTGGCAGCCCCGCATCTGGGCGCTCTTTGAGGATCCCTACTCCTCCAGATATGCAAGGGTAAGCTATGCGATCAGCACCCCCATCAAAACACTCAAACCTCCCATCAGCCCCGCTTCCAGCATCACCAGGGTTATTCTCGCTGGCAGAGCAGAGCAGCCATCCATGTGTGTAGCCATACAAAAATCACGCGCGGGCTATGGGGACAAATGCTCTTGAGCAGGCCCTGTGAATGGGGCACGAGTGGACACTGAGGTGTGAGGTCATGTGCTCACATGTGGGCTTCCAGAGACGGTTATTTTCTAACAGGCTTCTAAAGCCCCCCAGCCTGCATAGGCTCCCATTCACAGGCCAGGAAGATCTCCATTATGCCAGGTAATTCCCCTCCATGCACAGGTTTTTTACAGCTGGTCATCCCCCAGTAAATAGAGACACCTTGTGCAGCCCTCCTGTGAGCTAATGGCTCTCTAGGAGATGGAGAAAAGATCACAGGAGCAGGCAGTCCCTGGGAGACCAGGGGATTTGGGGAGTCTCTCAGCCTGCACTGCAAAGGGAGCCCGTTCCTTTCTCTTTCCTCATACCACATTAAATATTTATGATCATGCTTCTCTCAGAATGGGTAGTTCAGTTCCTCACTTACCTCCTCACTCTGTCTTTTCCCTTGTGGGAAACGCAAAGTATTAATTAGAGGAGAGGGTTCATTCACATAGAAAGGGGACACTGTGTCTGACAGGTTTCTTGCCTGGCTACTGAAGGACAACTCCTCCCCTCCTGGTGCCTGCGGTTGTTTTGGAAAGGGAATGCACACTGGTGCAGTTCACAGAATAGCTGTGGATAAAGATGTTCTTAAATGGTTGCCCAACTTCTCTAAGTAGGTACATTTCATGCTATCACATATGAGGGTAATTACATTAATTAGGGCCTGCTTCTGCTCCCGAAGTCAAAAGTAAAGAAAACATTGACACTTCAGGATCAGTAGCAGGATAAATCCCCAAGATACCCATACTGTTAAGCAGGAAAACAGATGAAGGATAATGCCTTCACAAACAAATTGGTAAAACGTACTTTTGTTACAGCATAATTGCTGCCAGCCCTCGGTAGGATGAGTGGTGCTTTGGTGTGGGAGGATGATCAGTGTTCCTGAGGAGGATCAAAGAAGTGAGATCAGATTAGGGAGCAAATTGGGTGGATGGAGGAGAGAGAAGTGGAAATGCAGGGAGCAGGGACGGGGGAGCTGGTTGTGTGTGAGCGGGCGGTGGAACAGCGGCTGCTTGAGACTTTCAGTCTGAGCAGAGATCTCCAGCGGGGAGCTGCCAGGTCTGCAGGCTGAATGAATGGGGAAAGCTGGAGCAGAGCCTGGAGTTATATCTGGGTGCTTTTCTAAAGACTCTTGTTTGCATGCCCTTTGGAGATTTCCTCCCTGAACAAAGAAGTTAATATTTTAAATGAATTCCTTTAAACAGCATGGAGGTAAAAGAATAATAAAATATTTACCATGAGATGAAAGGATGATGCTGTTGAATTGCTGCTTTCAAATCCCTGATTTCTGCCAGAGGAACATGGAAATGGAGAAGGAAGGCTGGAGGGTAGCCTTCAAAAGGCTTAGTTAGCTTCCTTTAATCAAGCCCAGCATCAGCAGTTGTTGATTTGAATAGCAGATCTCTCTGGTGCCTGGGAATCTGTTGGTAAAACACACCTCAAGTCAGAGTAGTGCATGCCTGCCCAAGATTTTGTGGAATGTTCCAAAAGCCAAATGGACGATGCTGTCCCAACGAAAAGGATACGAACAGAGGCTAAAACACCCTTTTGCTTGGAAGCACTATGATATTTTAAGTCCAGAGGACAAAATCTATAACCAATATTCAGAGTCTTTGTGATGTACCAGCTGGAATTCTAGGGGGATATAAATTCCATTTTCTAATTCTTTAATTTAGGAATAGGCATTTTATAAAGTGATTTGGATTTCTTTGGTTGCATGTTTTTGCAGTGGATGTTATACTGTTTATTCACAATTACATGTGCATACCTGGTAGAATTCAAGTCCTGATTTATCTCTAACTTATTCTTTCCTTAAAGGATTGTTAAACTAGAGAAGTAAGAATTCTAGGCAAAGTTGAAGTGTATACTGAATATTTAATGGGTTAAATACAATTCTTTAACTTGTATCTATGGAGACATAGGCCATATGCATTAATATTTTGCATGAAGGAAGATGGCTTTCATCATCAACACATGCACACACTGTCCATTAAGAAGACATTATAAGACACTTAACATTTCCTAATAAAAGCCATATGTTACAGTTATGGATGTAAAAAGAGACAGGAGTTTGATTTATGCTCCTGTAACTTAACAGAGACGTTGCAAAAAGACCTTAAACTCACAATAGCTAATTTACAGTAAAATAATGGATTGTATAATTACCAAGTGAATCATATATTAAAGCAATCATTAATAAGGAGTCAGGCAACAAATCTACTGTTACCTGACTTTTAATTGTGTATGCTACTTCCAATTACAAACTATATTTCAGTCATGCAAAACTTTAAATTCGCATTGCCATTTTGTCAAAAAAATGCAGCACAAAAATTTGTGCTCATAATTGGATCCGAGACTTGTACTAACGGTGGTTATTAGATACATATTTGAGTTTACATATGGCACGAAACGTATGTCAAAATAACATCTTAACATAAGCATTGGTTTACATAACCATTATACTGTTACACTCGGGCAAGTAAAAGGAATACAGTATATGAATATTAAGATTAACTGAAAACCTGGACATCTGAATAAAGCAAGACTTCTCTGGACTCTACCTGGTATACTAGTTCAGTGAATATTTAGGAACTGTCTATGGAAAGCTCAGCATTTACTCAAATCTAGCCATTCTTGGAGCATTTTGATGGACACTGCCTACCAATACAAGCACATTTGACTGTTCTGCTTCACCAAAGTCATACTAAATTACACCTGTTCTTGTTGTAGGCAGCCAGTGGATACTGCAAGAGCATTTGTGCACATCAGGCAAAATCAGCTAACTCTGCAAATTTTGTCTATTTCTAAACTTACTTTGATAAAGGCTAAATTCCCAGTCACCAATCGTTTGCCTTTAGGTGCAACATAATCAACAGCTTCTTGTTAAAACAATAATGGCTGAGTTGAATTAAATTCTGGTTTTCTAAACACTGATTTCTTAAATAAGACAGTTCTTTGTAAAAAAAAAAAAATTAAATACTTGGAAAAAATTGCATTGCCTTCTAAACTTGTAATAAGGTAGTTGTTCCACAGATTGCCTTAGGCATATCCGTTAAGAACATGGGTGTTGCACTTCTCCATAATTTAAAGAATCCACATTTGGATAACACAGGCAAAGTCTGATACCTGGAGGTATGAACAGAGTAACAGATCAGGTGACAGATACGATCAGATTTACGAAGATACCAGGTGCACATACAGATAGACAGGCATCCAGGTAGATTTTCAAAAGCATCTGATGAGGCAGCTAAATACCACTGCATGTCGTGGATATTGTGCACCTAAATTGGCGAGACATTTCTTTAAAGCATATAGAACTGTCTTTTTTTGCATGGTCAGAAAAGTTTGTAAATTTAGTTTTCCTCAGCAGACCCAAAGGGGGAAATAGGTTCAGTCACACAGAAATACACACAGCTTATCCCAAAGCTACACTGTCATAGAGATCCTGCCTTCTGCACTCATTAGACTTCGCAGGCCCCTCAGTACACAAGTGTGTGCAAAATATTTTCTTCGCATCCACTCTCCTTTATATTTCCGCCTGGTCATGCTATTCTCCACTAGCAAAGCTCCCACTGACCTCCTTGGGGGAGCCTGGCCTGCAGGTATGGCATACCTTTGCGCCTTTCCTTCTCCCCTTCTCCAGCAGGACGGGGTTGTGGTTGTGTTAATTCACTGTCCTGAGGTCAGTCAGTGCTTGGGGACCCGGACTTTTGAGCTGAGATTCTGCGCTAGTGCTCACATTCAAATGAGGATGGTTAAGCTTCATTAATAAACCCTCAGAAAAACTTCTGTAGTCCTTCCAAATAAACATTTTTTACTGGTTTTAAATAAAAGCTGGTTGGGGTCCTATGGAAAGTCCTCAGCAGCTTAACTGACCATCTTGGTGTATGCCATACAGCTCTGATCTAGGAGTGGAAAGGCTTATGGCAAAACTCTCACTCACCCTTCTTCCTTCGTGTTCTCCCTTCACATCCTGCAGAAGGATCTGTTTTCCTCAGTGGGTGATTTTTGAAGGACAAGTTTCTGACACTAAGAAGGAGACAGGAGAAAAGATAGTGGGGAAAAGCTGAGGAAAAAAAGGTATTTCCCTGGGATTTCTTCCAGCTTTCTTTTATACATTTCAGAGCACTTCCACCTTGAGTGTTCAATTTAAACTGATTTTTCTCTATATAAACTACATCCTGTAGGTACAAAAAGGCTTACGGGATCCTAGTTGCTGAATATCCATGCTGTCTCGAGGCTTAGAGGCTGGGGTGATTTCTGCTCATCCTTTACCCTGGCCCAGCACAGCTAAGCTCAGGAACTGGGGCAAGTATTCGGGAGTGAGAATAGATACTCATCACCCTTCACAAGGGGAGTTTATCCCGCAGCCGCCTGACGCGGGACACGCTTGGTGCAGGAGTGCCCCACGGGCAGCGCTCTGGGGCTCCCATGAGCATGAGCAGGTAGGGAGAGGAGGGAGGAGAGCTCACTGCCCCACACGCCTTCCCCTCCCCGCCGGCACCCGCTCTCCGGGGAAGGGTTTCATCAAAGGGACCCCGATGGAGCTGCTCTCCCACCCTGGGCCTTCCTGCAAGCTGTCCCCTGCAGAGCGTACCTAATCCTGCACTGAAGCTGGCTGCAGTTAATCCTCACCATATACTTTGACAATTAACGAGACAGCCTAATTCTACCTGCACGCTGCATTACAGCTCTGGAAAAATGACTCTTTCCACATTAAATGAAGTTTCCCCTGCACTTGTAGTATATGGAATTACAGACAGACATCTACTAACTACCACTCTATCGTTCATTATTGCTAT